CCCCCCCCCGCGGCACAAAGAGCCTGAGGCTGGTGTCCTACTTCTGACAGCTCAGCCTCCCTTGCATCTACTTTTGTCTGCCCTGGAGTCCTGCCTTCTCTGTCTCCATTTCACCCCTTCCTGCCCCTGGCACTTGAGTACCCATTGGGCTTCCTTGACCCTGCCCTGTGGCATGCCTCTCAGACTCTCTCCTGGATCCACTTCTTTTTTTCATAAGTGGAATTAGCCTCCTCTCCTTTTTCTTCCTCTCATGACAGGGTGAACGGGACCTCCCAGAGGTTAGCCGTCGAGAATTGGACCTGCTAATTGCTGAGGAAGATGAAGCTATCTTGTTGGAGGAACAAGGCAGGCCTGTCCAGCAGTGTGGGGCCTGTCTGGTGCTTGACAGTCAGGCCCCGGGCATGGGCAATCTGGGGTTTGAGCAATGCTCCTGTCTCTTCCTTTCTGTGCTCTGAGCCCTGGTTCTCTCTCTCTGCAGTGTCCAAGGAGGAGCCCCGGGCCCCAGAAGTGGAAGCTATAGTTCCCCCACTCTCGCCTCTAGTTCGTCCACCGTAAGGGCAGGAACCCCTGGGCCAGGTAGGGGATCAGTGCTGGGAGGAGTGTTCTCATCTCACCCACTTTCCTTCAGGGTAGAAGAGGCAGCAGAGCCACTTCCAGGCCAGGTCCTGGTCCCAGAGGAAGTGAAGCCAGCAGTCTGGGAGCCTGAGGCCCTACTCGCTGGTGAGTACTCACCATGCCTGGATCCTTCCAGGAGGCACCTGCACAGCTGTTGCAAAGGGCCCTGTATTCCCACTTGCTAACGGCAGGACTCTCCAGCTTCTTGCTTGGGTGGCTGTGAGGGCAGAGGGTGTGGGGTGGAGCTAGGACCTAGCATGTTGTTGCAGAGGTGACGCCCCCACCACCGCAGGAGCTGCAGCTCCCAGCCCCACTCAGCCCAGAGGTGAGTAGTAGCCCTTCCAAGCCTCCTTCTCTTCACCCTCCTCACCCAGAGCTGCTTGCCTATCTTCAGCTTTCCCAAGCCCCAGGCCACTGCTAACCTACACAAGCCTTTGTGCAAATTAGTAAGAGGTGACCCTGCCTATACAATTTAACCAGCTGCTCTTGCAGATGGGTAAGCCCCTGCAGAGTAGGAGCTGCACATGCTCCTGGAAGGCCCACCCAAGCCCTTTCCCAGGGTACCTCTGGGACAACAGTATGGGGCTTGTTTCAGTCCACCAGGGTCAAGGAGTAATTGGTAGCCTTGCTCCCACCACCCCTCCCCACTCAGCAGAGGAGGCCTCCAACCTCCCCACCTGCTCGCCGCCTCCGTCGCCGCCGCCAGTTATTGTTCTGGGACAAAGAGACTCAGATTTCCCGAGAGAATTTCCAGAAACAACTGCAAACCAGAGCTCACTGCTGGGAGTGTGTGAGTGCAGTCCAGACTTTGCATGGGTTGGAGACAGGGAGGGCCTGGAAAGACTGAAACTCTGAGGTACATGCTGGGCCTTGTAAACTCCTGGGGAGGCACTGGGAACATTCCCCTAAGTGCATGCATTGGGAGTCTGCACATATACAACTCTCCATGCTCCGTTAGTGACCCTGCCCAGCACATCTGTTGGCAGCAGTTAAAAGTCCAAATTTAGCAGTGAGCACAGCAGGCAAGGGCATGAGCCTGGAAGTTGGAAGGCCAGAGGCCCTGGAACAAGGTATTGCAGAGGTGAAGGGTCATTGTGGAATGACTCCCTCTTAACTGGGCTCTGGCCTTCCCTACCACGCAGCCAATGGTGCAGCCCCCTGAAAGGACCATCAGAAGCCCCACGGAGCTGTTCCGAACCTCAACTTACTGTGAGTGGTGCGAGTTGGCATGTGGGATCCTGACCCCATATTCCTCATCTTGGTGTTCCTTATGCCTCAAACCCTGTCCCTGCTGCCACCTTGTCCCCACCCAGCTGGCTGGCTACCCCCAGAACTGCTGGCTTTCTGGACCCGTTGTGCTCAGCCGCCCCCTAAAGCACTCAGGCGAATGCCGGCCCTGGAGCCTGAAGAGGTGGCAGCTGAGAGGGAGGCAGCCGCTGAGGAAGAAAGGAGAAAGGCTGAAACTCTGAGTGATATTGAGGTAACTGCACCCTCACTCCTTCCTGAAGGACCAGCCTGCTTTGCTTGAGCTCCAGCAGTCTGTCTTCTTCCCATGTGAGCCAATGGTATCAGGTCCTGGGCATGGGGTTGGAGTGTCCTAACCCAGAGCCAAGGCTGGTTCAGGGTGGGGACTGTCTCATCCTGCCCCAAGTGTTTCTGTGATGCTTGGGGTCTTAATTCTCTTTCTTTTGCCCCCAGGTCCTGAGGGAGGCCCAGGAGCCCAGTGGGCCCCTTATGCTGTCTTCAGGTAAGCACCCGAACAAGTGAAAAGCACTACCCTAACCACTGTCCCAGGAAACTGGTATCCCAACTGCTGACAGTTTTTCTCAGAGAGAGTATTTCACATAGAAGGCATAGGCTGGTTCTCTTCAGTTCTCCCTCTTGGGTGCTTGTAACAAGTCACTGCACAGCTCTGGCGTCCAGGTCAACCAGGTGGCCCCAATGTCCCAACTACTCAGATCTAAGCAGACTGAATCAGGACCTTTCCCTCCCCCTACAGAGCTCTCCATAGAAACAGCTGAGGAGGAGAAGTCTCGCATCAGCCTCATCCCTCCGGAAGAGCGGTGGTAAGCAGTTAGCCCTGGCCACGTGGGGCAGTGGCTAGGATGGGTTTGCCCCTGGTCACCATCACAGCTGCCACTTCCCTGCTCCACCTGATTCCCATGTTCTCCCAGGGCCTGGGCTGAGGCAGAGCAGCCAGAGCCCCCTGCATTGCCTGTGGTGCCTGAACTCCCTGAGGTGCCCATGGAGATGCCTTTGGAGCTGCCTCCGGAGGCCGAGCTGCTCTCACTTGAGGCTGTGCACAGGTACCAGCGAGGGAGTGCCTCAACTGGGTGGGTCTGGCCCGGGGCCTTAGCTAAACAGTTCTTGACCCCTACAGAGCAGTGGCACTGGAGTTGCAGGCCAACAGGGAGCCAGATTTCAGCAGCCTGGTGTCACCTCTCAGCCCTCGCAGGATGGCCGCCCGGGTCTTCTACCTGCTCTTGGGTGAGTGTGGACACGTGTGTGTGGGAGACACACATAGGCCAGAGGCTACTGTAGGGACTCCCCTTGACAAGTCTGCTCTTCATGTCTTGACAGTGCTCGCAGCCCAGCAGATCCTTCGCTTGGAACAAGAGAAGCCATATGGGCGCCTTCTGATCCAGCCAGGGCCCCGATTCCACTGTGGTTAGAGCCAATTTAGAAGCTGCCAAGAAACCAGCTGTGTTAAACCATGTCCTGCCTTACTAGACCCTGTCTGTCTCCTTTCTGGACAGTCACTTCTATCCTTCCTGCTCTCAGACCAGAGATGTTTAAGCAGAAAATGAACTGCCTTTATTACAGTATGTTGTCACGGGTCCATTTGTATTGTCCCATAGCATAGCAGATCCAGCCCCAGGGACAGCCCTATAAGGCAGCAAGCAGGGCTGGGACTCCAGAATCTTTGGTAAGGCATGAGGTGGAACTGGGCTGACAGGTGGTCTTGGGGCCCAGGCAGGCTGTTCTCTCTCGCCCAGCTGCAGCCCACAGTCTACTAGGTGAGGCCCAGGATGGCCTGGAGTTCCTGAGCCTTGTCGCCAGGCAGTGAGCCCAGTGCTGAATGGAAGCTGTCGGTATGCTGTTTGGCCAAGAATGTCAGGAGCAGCAGCAGTGAGGCCTTGGTGTCTGGGTGGAATGAAGAGAGAGGATCCAGGGAGGACTGGCCCCCAATCCCTAGCTGCCCCAGGCTCCATAAGCCCTGCTGCTCCTTGCCTCCCCTCACCCTGCCAACGAAGGCCAGCCTCACCTGGTGGGGTCTTGTCGTCAGCCTGAATGAGGCTGCAGATGCGCAGGAGCTCAGGAGCCACATCTACAACCTATGGGAAAAGAAGGGCCAACTCCGGCAGGAGCACCCCTGAGCCCTAGAACTGGGGTGGGTGGTAGGGGCCAAGGAGACAGAGTCTCCCACCAGGGCTGTTGGAGCCTGACACTAATTCATAAGAATCCAAGATAACTGTGAAACATGAGAAGGACCCATGAAACACCATGATGATAGTTTTGGGGTTGGGGGATGGGAAGGACAGGAGATTGTGATCAAAGGTGATTAAAGTCATAGCCTCAAGATCAAAAGTCTAAACACACAGGAGTTCCACAAACACAAGAATCTCTAAAGGTATATGACAAAGGTGAAAGACACAGAAACACTGGGACATCAGTTCAAACCTAGTCACTTGGTACAGTCAAATCGCAACAGAAAGCAGAGCTGTTCTGACTGGAATGGATGGTGAGGTGGCCCAGACCAGTACCCAGGCTCAATGAGGCACAGCCTGAAAGATCCCTGGTCTAGGAAATCAGCGGTCAAGTTGTGACTTCTGGCTCAGACCAGAGGATGGAAATGGCCAGGCAGGATGGAGGCTCCCTGAGGAAAAATGCTATGTGGTGAGAGGAAGCCCTTCTTCTCACATGATAGGCCTGGCTGCCAATCCTTGCAGATCAATGAGAAAGCACAATATGGAATGTCAAAGGGCAGCTTAAACCATCACTCTGCATCAGCTACTACTGATACCAACTCTGCCTATGACTAAGAAGGGAGCATTAAGCTCCCCTGAGAGCTCCAGCACTGGGGTTACCTGGTCAGGGCTGCTCTGGTACAGGAAGCTGAAGAGGTGCCCTATGGTGACCCACTCCTCCAAGTCCTCCTTCAGTGGCAGGGCATGCAGCAGAGCAGCCAGCACCTGGACATACAGATGGTTCTGGTCTCTTGCCCTACACCTTCCTCAGCATGTTACCACTGCCCAATGCCCCTATCTCTCACCTGGGGCTCTGGTTTCCTTGTGGGACTGGCCATCAGTAGGCGGGCAAGTGCCCCACAGATGTTGTCATGGACACGATCATGGCGCTCCCGTGCCAAGAGGGGCAACAGGAGTCCCACCAGCTTGGAGAAGTACCTGGTCCACAGTCAAGGAAAAGGCACTCTCCCATCCCTGAGCCCAGGGACACTCTCCCAATCCCACCTCAGCCACTTTTGCAAGCCAAGGATACTCCTGGGCAGGGCGGCCCCCGTGCTCAGCCAGCACACCCAGCCCGAAGATGGCATTGCTCCGCACTTCAGGGTCTGCCTCCCGGGCGGCGCTCAGCAGCACAGGGAGCAGGCGGGACACAAACTGGGCTGAGGCAGCACCGAGGCTCTGAATGGATTCTGCCAGTGTCCCCACTGCAAAGGACTTCTCTGCCACTGTGCAGCCCTGTTTCTGGTATAGGGAGGAGTGCAAGTCAGCCCGGGACTGGGAGAGAGTGGGGGTGTTGGGCAGAATGGGGTTTGAAGCCAGAGGATGGAGCACTCACCGTCTTGCAGAGCAATAATGGCAAGAACCCAGCGAAGAAGGGGGCAAAAGTGTCTCCCCCAGCTGCAGCTGCCAGGGCAGGAATGGCCTCACCAGCGTACTCAAGCAACATGGCATCATATTCAGCCTGTGGGGCCAGGTCAGGGGCTGGAGCACCAGCACCAGCTCTGTGACTGTGACACCTCCCACTATGTTTCTCCACTGCTACAGGTGGTCCTTGTGAGATATGCCCTTGGTGACAGATCTGGCCCCTCCCAGGCTGTGCTTGTTTGTAGCTCAGATATTTCTCTTGGCCCTCCTACTCTCACCTATCAATCCAAGCCCACCCTGAATCTCCACCTCCAGGAAGCCTTCCCTGAACCCCCACTGCCTGAGTGGGAGCAGGGTTGTATCATTCGGAGCCATTACCAATCTTTTGGCAGCCCTGGCTCCCCTAGGCCAAGCCCAAGTGCATTTGTCCACCCTGCCCTGTGGAGACTACCAAACAAATGACCTGGTCTCACAGTTTGCATCCATAGCTCTCACCTGGTCCTCGTCATCCTCCTCCTCCTCCTCAGTGTCCTGACAGGCTGTCTGTAGGAAGAGGCAGCTCAACTCAGCCTGGGTTCTCTTGCCCCTTCTCCTCTCCATTGGGTGGGGCATGGGGGAGCTGGACTTGTAGTCCCTGACCATCCCACCTGGGGCCAGGCCACCTCTTCACCCTGCAGCCCACCTGTCCTGCTCACCTTCCTCTGCAGCACGGCCTTAAGCATGTTGCAGAGCTCAGCGAGACGCCCAGGGTGCTGCAGTGTGAGGGTCCCACAGCTGCGCAATACCCCTGTCAGGGCCTCCAGCACGGCCATCACCACTTGGCGCTCCCGCTCCCCATATACTGCCTGCATGTAGGACGGCACCACCTGGGCCAGGGTGGCCTGCAGAGCTGGGGACATGATTGGCTGAAGCCCTGCCCCTCTCCCTCCTACCCCCTGGTTCCAGAGGCCCCAGCCTGGCCCCTGCATCCTTCTCACCAGCAGTGTTGGGTTCTGAGGGGCAGCTTTGACAGGTCTTGTGCAGCGCACAGCAGAACTGACCCAGAGCCTCATGGGCTGCCTTGCGCACATTCAGGTGAGGGCACTGTGGGATGAGGAGTAGAATGTGCCTGCTCTGTGCAGGGCAAACACAGGGCCCCTAACCTCTAGTCCCCACCCACTACACCCACCATCCACTCACCTCCAGAAGTTTGGATACTTCTTCAAAAACACTCTCCATGTAGGGAAGGAAGGCCACACTGTGAACAAACACATGGCCATGGGGAAGAGCTTCCCAGGCAGGGTACCAGTGCAAGGAAAGGGCGAATGCTCACCTGGTGTTCACAGAAATCTCCCCCAAGGCAGCACAGGTGTCTTCCTTCTCATCGAAGAAGGCATTCTCCACACTGTACCTAGAGTAAGGTAGCGACATAACAGCGCTCAGGCACCAGGAGGAGCAGGTCTGGCACTGGGCCCTTGTCCAAAGCTAGGATTCCTCCAACCATGCCTATAACGGCACCCCTCCGCACCCTGAAATCTCTGAGTCGTCCTCCTCTTCCTCGTCCTCATCCATGAGCTCCTCCTCTTCCTCCCCATCGCTCTCATCATCAAACAGAAGGAAGGAGCTGCTGCTGTCATACTGAGGCTGGATAGAGGAGGCACAGTGGGAACTATGGTTCAGCTGGGACAAGGAGATAAATCCCACACCAGGGCTGGCCTTCCCCAACTGCCCGGCCCACCCACTCTGCTCACCACAATGCCCTCAGTGGAACGCAGTGACAACAGCATGAGTGTGGTGATTTGTGGCAGGTAGGGTGCCAGGCCCTCACCCATCAGCCCCGATAAGGCTGCAAACAGGCTGTACCTAGTGGAGGCAGGTGAAGCTGTACAGTCCTGCCTACTACAGCCAGACAGAATGGGGGAGCCAGGGGAAGCCTATGGTCCAGAACCAGAAGACTGAGGTCTGGAGTAGGGACAAGTGAGGGCTCACTCACGTGCAGCGCCGTAAGTCAGGGTCGTCTACCTGGTCACATAGGCCCAGCCCCAGCTGGCAGCATTCCTCAGCCAGGGGCCTCATGGGCTCCCCCACTGCTCTTGCCAGCACCCCCAGCGTCTCTGTTGGGGCAAAGACTTGGTTAGCACTGGGATGTGGAGCTGGGCCAGAGGAATGCTGGGCCAAGTCCAAATTACCAAAGATGGCAACTGGAGGTAATTCAGAAATCCCACTTATTCTTAGGCACAATGGGAATGCCTTCGACGAGAAGGAAGACACCTGTGTGGCCCTGGGGGAGGTCTCGATGAACACCAGGTGAGCATCGGCCCTTCCCTGGCCCTGGGAACCCTGCCTGGGAGCCCCTTCCTTACCCAGGCTCTGGATCCGCAAAGGCTGAAGGTCCTCATGGCCTATCACCAGGAATTCCCGCAGGTGCTCCATGATGGTGGGGAAGTAGGGCAACAGGGAGGCCTGGGCAGCCGTGGCTGCAGGACAGAATCAGATGTGGGGGGTGGAGGGTGGGAAGTGCCGGGACCAACTGCTACAAGTTTTCTGGGTGAACCCCATGCCCTGCCTCCTTCTCCTCACCAATGGCCCCCAGGGCGCTCACAGCCAGCTCCTTGGCCCGGGGGCTGCTGGGGTTCCTCAGAGGCTGCAGCATACACTCCATAAGCTCCGGAAGGTAGGGCTGCACTTTAGGCCCTGTGGGAAAGGGCGCCCCTCTAACAACCAAACCAGGTCTCCCCTTCTGGAGGTCCACCTGGCTCCAGGCTGACCTTACTTGTGGTCCCACCATGGGCAGTGGTTCTAGGAGTTGCACACCCTGCCCCCTTCAGCCAAAGCTATAGCTTTGTCCCCTCCCTCGCACTCCCAACTGCCATCACTACCTAGGTTCTCCACGAAATTCTCAAGGGCATAGCAGGCCCTGGCTAGGTGGTGTGTGTGCCCAGGAGGCACTGACTTCAGGTAGGCGAGGAGCAGTGGCATCACCTCCCCTGAATAGCTGCTGATATGAGGCTGTAGGAGAGAGTGGGCCCTGAGTCAGCTCAACTGCAGGGCACACACCTAAGTGCCTATGGCAACAGAGGCACTTAGGCATGAAGACATGAAGCTGGTCCCTGGGACGGGTGGCTACCCACATTCAGCCCCGCTGACCTGTAGGTTCTCTGAGAACTGGCCCAGGGCAAATAGCGCAGCATTACGCACAACTTGTGATGGGTCCTCCAGGCCCTTACACACAATCCGCAGTAGCGGGGACAGCAGTCTGGATGAAGCAGGATAAGAGAACATATTTGAGGGGCAGGAACCAAGAGCCCTAGGATGAGCTGTTCTCCTGTTTCCCCGGAGAAAATTCAGGCTTTACCACCCCTTGGTCCCTATAGCTGGGGCAGCCATTTAATTTATCTTTCAAATCAGAATACTTCTGAGATTATAGGGTAAACACTATTGATGATTAGGCATGAATGACAAGCACAGACCAAGACTGCCATGGGCCATGTGGTCCTCCTCCCCATGGTCCACTCTCGCTGCAGGACGGGAATAAGCACCTCTGCCTGATGTGGTCACTAGCTCCATCAGACAGCACAGCCAGCACCAGAAGTCCAGCCTTGCGCTGGTATGGGCTCTCACTCCGCAAGGCCTCTTCCAGCATGGGCATCTAGGGGAGCACAGGGCATTCTCCTGAAACCCCAGCACAAGCCTGCCCATTCTTGTGGCAACAGCCCTCCACACCCACCAGGGCCCAAATATCCTCCGCCTTGGGGAGTAGGCACACCTGGGGGTAGGAGCACTGGGGCACCAGAAGGATGGATCCACACTTACCAGCGGGGTAAAGAGCTTCTCAGGGGGCAAATGCAGTGCCAGCATGTCCACAACCTGGAAAATGATAGGGAAACTTTGCTGGACTCCATCTCTGATCCCAACCTCCCACAGCCACCTGAGGACCTGCCCCCCAGCCTTGTCTCACATCCCACCTGTACAGCAAAGTGCTTGGGTGTCTCTCCCACCAGCCCAATCTCCAGGTCTTCCTCCTCTGAATCCTGGTCCTCAGGATCCAGCTGGCCCAAGGGGGGCTCAGCAGCCATAATGGGGAAAAGGGTGTGCAGCAAGGCAGGCAGGAGACGATTCTTCAGTAAGGCCTTGAGAGGGAAAGGTGTCCCTGACAATCTGCTCCCAAGATGGATTCACATTAAAAATTCCAACCTTCCAGGCCAGAAAGGGGTCCAGCAAGAGATTCTAAATCTCCGAGCCAGGAGCCAGGGTGAGGATAGAACAAGTCTTAAGCATCTTAGCTATGGTACTTTAGATACCCCAAGATTGTCAAAAAGCCCCAGGAGTGAGATGAGGGATGGAGGTGGGGTTGTGTGTGTCAGAGGGCACTCACCTTGCTCTTCACTTTGACCAAAAAAGTGAGGCAGCAGAGAATACGTACACGCACTGTATCACCCAGGGCCACGTTTCCAGCCACCTGCCCAGAGACTAAGGCAAATCAGAAACAGGCAAGGAAAATCCAGAACAAGCAGCAGGGGCCATGCCCACCCCAGGCTCACCCCCAGGCAGAATGTGAGGATCTCAGAGAGGTTGGAGGTGATGACAGGCACCTCTGACTCCAGCAACTCATCCAGGGCCTCCATGGCCTCACAGGCCTTTGCCTGCCAGACAGATAGACAACTCATAGGGTTACCATGCTTTTATTCAGTGATCCAGGCTAGACGTTTCTGTACTCTCCTTCCAACAGAGCTCCTGCCCAAATGTCCTCACCTCATCTACAGAAATCAGAGTCTGCACAGCTGTGATGAGCTTGGGCACTAACATCCGTGCCAGAGGCTAGAGGAAAAAGGATGAGTTGAATCACAGAAAGCATGATGTAGCTTAGTCTCAGGCCTCAGAAGCTGGCAGCTTCCTTGAGCCCAGGCGCAGCCACCCAGTCTCCCCTCTCAATTGTTAGGAAGGACAAAAGGCAGAGAAATAACCTAAAGTAGCTCTGTATCCTGCAAGGGTAAGGACATAAAGGCCTGAGGATAGGGAGCCAGGGAAGGTGTGGGCCCACAACTCACCACGTCATCAGTGCCGAGGTGAGGGGCCATGGTGGTCAGAGTGCGAAGAGAGTAGAAGAGAAGCCCAGGAGAGCCCACCTCACCAAGGGTCTCATTCAGAAGCCGAAGAAGCTCCCGGTGGTGGGGTTGGAAGGCCTCAGGCCGGGAGGTCACCATTACACTTAGCAGCATAAGCCCCATCTGTCCAGGAGTAGGGGATGAGAGGGAAAAGCTTACATGGTCTATCCAGCCTCTGGGCCCCTCCCTCCTGCCAACCATGTAATAGTACCTCTCTCTCAGGGCCGTGGGGGCTATGGGTACTGTGCTGAAGAAGCTGCATGAGCTGAGGCCAGGCCTCCAGGCCTTCCTTCCGAAAAATAGTGGCTGAGAGCTGGGCCAGGCTAAGACTCACATTGTGCCTGCAAACAGAAGAGATTTCCCCCATCCCCAATCACCCTCCAGTACCCTCCCCTGCCCATGCTGGCCCTGCCTCAATGGGGTGGCCAGGAGAGAAACTTCCAGGTGGAGGCGCAGGGTCTTTGCCAAATTGGGACACATAAGACAGAGGCTCAAAGGGAAATCAACAGCACGGGGGATGTATAATCTGGTGAGCTTGACCTCACTCGGATTGAATTTCAGTTCCATCACAGCACATTTGCAAGAACTTCAGTCTTCAACCCAGCTTTAGAATCCTTGCTCTATCTTTGGTCTAAAACTGAAGTCCCTGCCCTCCAATTCCCAGCCTGGAGTTGAAACCCTGAGTGGTTATTAGCCTGGAGTCAGTCAGGAT